ATGAAGGAAAATATACCATGTCAACATTAATCAAAAGAAAGCTGGCATTGATATATGAATTTCAGACAATGCACATTTCAAATCTAGGAAAACTCAGAGATAAATAGGGGTATCACAGAATGATAAAGGGGTCCATTCTCCAAGAAGGCCTAGCAATCCTTTAGATGTATGTGCATAGCAACACAGGGGAAAAATACATAAAGCAAGAGCTAATAGAATGCAAGGAGAAACAGATGAATACACTGTAATGGTTGGAGAGCTTAACTCCCTTTATCATAAATTATAAATTCCCGTAGCAAGGAGAGAGCAGAACAGAGCAGCACTATGAAACAACTGGACTTAATTGTAATCTGTGGAATACGTCATGCAACAACAGAGTTCACATTCTTCCCAAGTTCACATGGAACATTCACCAAGACAGAATAGATTCTGGGACATAAAAATTTGAAAGAACAGAAATCTTATAAAACATGCTCTCATATCACACAGACATTAATCTAGAAATCAGTAACAGGAAGATAGTTGGAAAACCCCCAAATAAATGAAAATTCAACAACATACTTCTAAATAATAAATGGACTCATAAAAGAAATAAAGAGAAACTAGAAATGATTTTAAATTATATGAAACGTAAATACTACATGTCATATGTTGTTGAATACAGGAAAAGTAGTGCATAGAGGGAACTCTATGCCATTGAACAAATACATTGAAAAAAATCAAAGATACATAATTAATAATGTAAACATCTAATTTAGGAAACTATAAAAGCACCAAATTAAACTCAAAGTACACGGAATAAAAGAAATAATAAATATTAATGTTAGAAAATAAATTAGTGTAATTGTGGAAAATAATGGAGAAAAATTTTAAAGCTGCTTGTTGACAAAATTAAGAAAATAAACATCAAGATAAAAACATCAAGAGTCAACATAACTAAGAAAAGAGGAAAGACAGAAATTACTGATATCAGAAATGAAAAGAGGGAGTAATAAAAATAAAAAAGGGTTTGATAAAATCCAACATCTACTTATGATAATAAACTAGTAATAGAAACTTCCACTTCTTGAGCTAGAACATCTTCACAAAACTTGTAACTAAATTCCTCACATTTGTTCCTCACATGAGTGTCTATGTGAAATATCAGAAAGAACCCACAAGAGATAATTCCTCAATTAATGAGAGTAAAGCAAGACTGAAGGATAGAGAAGTAAAATGCTTTCCCATAGACCCTCACAATATACACAACTATCTTTGACAAAGGAGGAAAGGTAATTCAATGGAAAAAGAAAATCTTTTAAACAAATAGTGCTGCAAATAGCAAATACACGCAAACACACACACACACACACACACACACACCCCAGATGTAGACACAGTCTATACAAATTAATTTTCACAAAAATTAATTCAAAATACATTATAGATCTAAATGGAAAATGCAAAACCACTAAACTCCCTAGAAAATAACATGAGGAGAAAATCTAGGGGATTTTGGGTTTGGTGATAAATTTTTAGATACATTAAAATCAAGGTCCAATAAATGGGGAAAAAAATTTACTCATTAATATGAAAAACTCTTCTAAGAAAACCAGTGTTCAGAGAATAAAAACACAAGTCACAGAGTGAGAAATAGTCTTTGCCAAACAGTTATCTGATAAAGGACTGGTATTCAAAATATCCAAACAACTCTTAATATTCAACAGTAGGAAGACAACCCAATTAAAAGTGGGCCAAAGATCTGAACAGACAGCTCACCAAAGAAAAATACAGTTGGGAAATAGGCAATATGAAAACATGCTCAACATCACTGGGAGATTGCAAATAAAAGAACAATGCAGTATCATTATGCACTGATTAAATGGCTAAAATTAAAAATTCTCAGAACACCGACTACCAGTGCAGATATGAAGCTGCAGGTGATCCTCATTCGTTGCTGGTGGGAATGGAATCGGGCAGCCCACATCGGAGACCAGAACTTCATTTCAACACAAAATGTACTCTTACTACATATAGTAGGATCCGGCAATCACACTCCTTGGTATAGACCAGGGGTCGGCAAACTGCAGCTGGCAAGCCACATGCGGCTCTTTGGGTGCGTTCCGTCTCAAAAGTTTGCTGACCCCTGGACTATAGACCTAAATGAACTGAAACCGTATGTTCACACAAAAACCTGTACATGAATGTTTACAGGTGCTTTATTCATAAGTATCAAGAGTTAAGAGTTAAGCAAGATGTCCTTCAAGAGGCAGAAAGACAATCAGTGGTACATCCAAAGGACGAAATATTTTTCAGTAATAAAAAGAAATGCGGTAAGTAAAAGCTACCAGTCTGACAAGGCAATACAGTGTACGATTACAAGTACATGCCATACTGGAAAACACAAAACTATCAACCAGCAAAAAGATCTTTGGGTTTGAAGGATTTAGGGGTTGGAGGAGTGAATGAATAGGTAGAGCACAGAAACTTTTGGGAAGTAAAACTGCAGTATGACTTATAAAAATAATGGCTACACATTATACATTTGCCCAAACCCACAGATCCTATAACACAAAGTCAACGCTAATGTAAACTGTGCACTTCAATGCAGCAATAGTGGCTTAGCAATTGTAACAAATCTACCACAGTCATACAAGATGTAAAAAATAGTGCAAACTATGTGGGCGCACAGGGGTTATGTGGGAACTCTGTACTCTCTGAATCCAGTTTTTTCTGTAAACCTAAAACAGCTTTTAAAAAACTGAAGTCTATCAAAAACTAAAACAAGATGAAGACAGACTCATTACAATTCACCCCGATGACTGAATTAGATGAACCAGGCCCATTCTGACCTCCCTTCAATAAGCCAGCCTGGTGCTCTAGGAGCCTGAGACCAGGAAGGAGGTGAAACTTCCATGGAATGCCTTGTTGGAGAGCGTGGCATTCTATATTCTGAGAAGCACCATGGTCACTATCAGTGTCTGGAACTCCAACGTGGATGAGGAGTATCCTGGTGAGTCCTGATATGTAGACTTAGTAATGGACAGACAAGTGTTATCTAATTTATATTCTGAGGATCTGAGTCAAGAGATTCCCCAAGTTCTTTTACCACACAGCAGCAAATCTTAGACAACAGTCCAGGAGCCTGTGAACATATGCAGGTGGGGACAACTGTGGGCCAGAAGCAAGATGACTGCCTGATGTTGGGTGAGCCGTGTGGCCCTTGGGTTTGGTCCTTCATCAGAAACATCCCAATTAAGGGATGAAGAGCAGCAACTCTCCATTGGGCTCCATCATGTACGAATGTGCACTGTCCTCCTGAAAGCCTGCACTCCCCAGGGCTGTGCAGTCAGTGAATCCCAGGAAACAGCCCAGGGAACCAAGGAGTCTGGCAGAGGGGTGGCCTCCTCCAGCACCACAGCTTCTTTCAAGGGACAGGAGTAAGGAAGGTCATTGCTTCTGCAGGTGACATAAGCCGGAAGTAAAGGTTTGGCTCCATCATATCACAAGTAGGTGTCAGCAGCCAAGTTGAGCCGGTGGGGGCTGTTTCTAGGGCCAAAGGCATAACAGGAACCTCAGTGGAGGGCACATGCTCAGTGCTTATGGAGCCTCTATCTTCAAGAGGGCCCAGTACATGGCGGTAACTGCAGCTCTGATGGCATTCAGTGTGGGGCCCAGGACAGTCTCTTAATCAGAAGCCTATGGACAACTCAAGGTCCTCTTCCAGAGAGGCTCAAATCACTGCCAGCAGGGTTAGAGGCCTCCTTCATGACAACCGGTTGCTGTACAGAGTCTAAGTATCCTGGGCTTAAGTAGGGTTTGAACTAATTCCTTTCCTGTGCCAAACTGAAGCTATGGTGCTGTCCACTGTAACCCAGATGGTCAGGATCTTTGTTGCAACAGGTGCAGGGGCAGCAGCAGCAGCGTTACTTAGGGGTCCTGCTGGGCCCTCTGGAATTTCCCTACCTACCATCTGTACCCTGTCTCTACTCTTTCTGTCTGAAATAACTGCTCCTGAAGGAATGTCCATGTGATGGGCTCACCTCATTCACAGGGTATAATAATCCTCATAGCCCCCTGAGACGTCTCACTAAAGTCTGGTGAACCCAGCCTCTGTCACACCTTCATTCTAAACACACAGTAGGGTTCCACCTAAGACATCGACCCAAAAAGCACTGTACAGAGGGCCCCATTATCATACTCTTGCTCCCAAGGATAAGGAACAACTAAAACTGCCTTCTAGGGGTCCTCTGTATATAGACCCCAGGCTCGGTGGGTCCCCAGTACAGCACAGGGCAGCACAGCTCACAGGAGGGCTCCCCAGCAAGCAGCAGCTCACAGTGCAGGAGCCTCCAGGCTTTCTCATCAGCCTGACAGGTAAGAAGCAGGAGGGGGAGAAGGAGGGGTGGGGCTTGAGGTTTCAGTAAATAAATATCAAAAGTGTGGGCCCACACACACACACACACACACACACCACTCATGACAAGAACAAACATGGGTAATAAAAATAGGCATTCGCACAGGCTTGTTTTTATATCAAGACACACTAACAGGATGACCAAGGAATAATCAAAAGTGATTATTTGAGGGTGGATGGAGTAAGCGCACAGGAGTAGAGCAGGATATGCAGGCAGGGAGTCTTCTGAAGTTGGTTTCCTATCTTAAAAATGTTTAAAACTTACCACTGCATTATTTATTAATAATAAGGAGAAACTTTTATATATGCCATATTTTCTTAATTATTTTTAATTAACTTTTGATTTATTAGTTTAATTTTAACTTTTCTACATAGGAAACTATTTGAAGATTTAATCCTTTAAATACTACCAAATATAAAATTGCAAAGCACAATAAATGAAAACTAACAAATCCCTTCCTAACAAAAAGGAAAAAGGGCATTATAGTTTGTCCTTATAGTAAACACTGGAGATATTTTCAGGAATGAGTAGCACATTATAATATATTAGGGGTTTGCAATTAAGCCTTTAAATGTACCAGGAATTTGAAAGTTTTACATAAGGCTTGAAGTGTTTTCCTCAAATCAATTAGAAGATACATTCAAATATTTTTCCCTCACATCCTTTAAAATAGGAATTTGTATTAGGAATGGTATAGCCTTTTAAATGTCAAAGTTCTCTAGAGACCTGGACATAAAAACACTGACCTAAAAATGGAGAAAAAGCACGCGGAGAAATTAAATACACCCATCTCACATCTTGAGGTTCAACTGCCTAAATGAAATAAAAATTGTGTGTGGATGCCACAATTTTCTTTCCTTACATATCAACTTACATTTTAAAAGCACAAGTGCTAACGGAAACTACAATCGAAGGACTGTGATCTTTCATTGAGAAAGGAATGCAAGGAAAGAAACACCAATATTGCAAGCAAAATATGCAGCTTCTTCCCTACAGTTCAGAAGGAAAACTCCATTCAGAACGCTGAACACATGTCCACATTTGAGGTCTAGACACCCCTGGTTGAGACAGAACCCCTGGAGTGGGTCAGTCCCTGGGGAAGGAGGGAGGGACACCTGAGCAGCCTCAGGAATTAATTCTGGGAGCTCCCACACCCTACCCTCTCCCCTCCTGTAAGCAGGGAAGTGCTCCCTCCCCCAGGCTTCCATTCTCACCGTGAGGAAACTCAGCCTGATTCAGTTTAAGGTTCTGGCCCACATGAACACCCCAATTCACAAACCCTTTGTCCTGAGAAGGTACACCCCATCTTCAGACTTCTTCACTGTGCACAGATTACACTGTCTGCACCTATATCATGGATGGCTCAAATATAACATTTAAAATGTCTATGCTGTGTTATATGCACGCTGGAGAACAAATACTTGATGATGCTGTAGCTCAGAGAGGGGAAGATGGCTTTGGGAATGCGGGGAGATATGACAAATTTAGGAATTTGTTGCCAGTCCTAAAAAGAGTTAAGCTGTGGGAACAGGGTCGTGGATCTGAGACCTTGCTTTGAAATAGCTGGAAAACTCAGGGGAAAAATGGGTCCCTAAGGAGAAAGGAGAGACTGGGCACCCCGCAGACAACAGCTCTTCCCACACAAGAGCCCTGGAGCCCCAGTCACAATTGTACCTGGTGACCCTCAAAGGGTGACCGCACAATGTGAGGAGACGCCGGGCTGCAGGAGCAGAGCTGCCCAGAAAGGGTCCGGGCCTGGACCGAAGTGGCCGCACGCAGTGACAGGACAGGACGCCAGGGGTCCCGACTGCCGTCCTGGCCCCCGCGCTGCGAGCGGGAGGGGCCTGAGACCCCAGCCGGAGCCCCCAGTGAACTCGGGTTCACAGACTCCGGAATTGAACCGGCGGAGGCCAGTCCCACCACTGCCAGTTCCAACCAGCCCCTCGTCGTTCCCGTCCGCACCCGCCCCTCACACTCACCATTTCTAGGTTTCCTGGGTCTGAGTCCCGCCTACGACTCCCAGGAGCGGCGCAGATCACAGCGCGACAGAGGCGGAGACCGAGATCCGTAACCCAGGCGATGGAGAGCCCCAGCACTGCTGGAGAACCGATGTGCGGCCCGTTCACTGGGTTGCTCCCCCTGCCCCAGCGGCACCTGATTGGATAGTTACCAAGGCCCCACCCACTCACGCCTGAATGACAGCCTGCGAGTGGGCTCGAGGCCCGCCCGCCGTCCATCCCTCTCCCTTCCCCACCCTAGCCTCGTTACATTTATATTTAAACACAAGTTTTTTCCGGACCTGGAGCTGATACCTTGGCCTTAACTGCAGTTTGTGAACTGGAGGGCACCTCTGTGAACGGGAAGCCCTGATTTGTGTTTCAAGATGGAAATGGTCTGTGGGGGCAATGGAAGGAAATGATGCTGATGCCCGTGACTGAGGACGTCCCCAGGCAAATCCCACATGGGACACACCTTTGCTTCAGAGCCACAGTACGTCCAGAGGTCTGCCCCAGGAGCCTGATTTAAACTCCAGGACAGATACTGGGAGCCCTCTCACTTCACTCCTAGTTACATGCATGAGACAACGGCAACCCTAGAGGGTGTTTTCTCAGTGACAGGGCTGCAAGAAAGGCCTGCTATTATGGTTTCTGGTCCTTGAATTTTTCGTAAGAAAGATCCCACAGTGGTGCCAAGAGTTGAACACATAAAAATCAAGGTTCAGGAGAGTTTATCATTGTTCTAGCATATGAAAGCAATTGTGTTGTTTCCATACATACAGAGGGTGCCAAAACAATGTATACACATTTTAAGACAGGAAAACTGTATTAAAATTGTAATACTCAATATATACCGATAACAAAAGATGAATACAAGTCACATTTGGCTTCTGCAATTACAAGAGGTGCTTAAAGTATCCAGACATCAGCATCCGGACAATTCTGATTACAGCAGACTATAGCTAAAGCAGAGATAACATCTCTTAAAATGTATATACATTTTTTGGCTATATATCTTCAATATATTCAATATATATCGGTGTAATTATGAGTTTTCATAAATGTATAATATTACCATCAAAAGATGGGAAACATGCCACCATGCGAAAAGAACACTTTTGTGGTGCGCATTTGAAAAACTCCTCCAATATATAAAAGACACCACAAATATCTGTGACCTAAATCAATAGGAAGTCCTAAGTCCCAGATATCAATGCCCAAACTCATGACCATGTATTTTATATACACAGTGTTTAGCAACTGCTAAAATGAAGACAAGCCATATGTTAATCTTTATCATTATGGGGAATCTTTCCTGTCAATCACAGGAATGCAGGAAATTCTATATTGCTATGCTCTATGTACTTCCACACCCAAACAGTTCCTAATAATATTTAAAGTGTATTATATGGTGGAAACTCAAGTGACAGATAATGACATCATCACTCACTGAGGCTTCTACCCTCATAGAAAAGATGTATACACAACCCAGCCTATTATCTCACATTTAATTGTTTACTTTCCTTCAAACCATTTCTTTGCATCTTATAAACCAAAGCTTTACTATTTGTTCAATATCTTTTTTCCCCACAAAAATATAAGCACCAGGACTTCAAGAACTTGTTTTATGCCTCTATATTCAAATCCAACGGTGCCTTGATTATTTGTGCCAAACTGGGTATGTTGACTCTAAAGTGTATGGCAATGTGGGATATTGAAATATTAACATCAAGAGTATATAGTCTTGGGCCGGCTGAGTGGCGCGATGGTTAAGAACTGGCTTGGGACGCCAGAGGGCCCCGGTTCGGATCCCACAT